ATCAAACCTGTTTGGATCAAAATGCTTACATAATTTGATCATTACAATCCAAGGGGTATCCAAACAGGGTCTTATTCGTAAGTTAATATAATCATGCTTAGAATTTGCCCGTTCGGCTTACCTTATAATCCAGCTTATTCGGCTTCTTTTTTTTTAGTCGGAACAGTATTTTTCTCTAACAACAATTCAACCGAACAATGTTTTTCAGCCAAATTCAGCCAAGCGAACGGGCCTTCTGATGCACTACCGAGCCAATAGTCTAAGGCAATCATGAAACCAAGAGAGCAGGCAGGGTATCTTGAAGAGTTTCCTATCCAACCTATTAAAAAGTCAAAATTAAGGTGTATATGCGATAAAAAAACACAGCCTGTGGTTTCCAACAGTTCCTCTATCCAATATCCTATATTTAGTAGTAAACTAAATCCTCCCTCTCCCCTAATTTTAGGGTGACATATTGTCCACCATATATGTTATCTGAGATAGCAGGGGAGAACTATTAAAGGACAGGAATATTTAAGGAGAATTTTTTTTAGGAAGCATCCTATATGACGAGGATATGGATGATTAAGTTTAGGAGCTAAGGGCTCTTAAATATAAGGAGATGTAGGGTCAGGTTAATCATAGTTGGATTATTATAATCTAGATTACTAGGAGGTAACCCCGAGTTTTGTGCGGATGAAGTTACGATTTTTTGGCATGCAAAACTAAAAGCCTTATAAATTATTTTACCGTAGGGGCAGCACGTGGTATATGCGCAAAAAAACTGATTTGCTACCTAACATGTAACCAAGAGAAAAAAAGGGATGAACAGTGCTGTGTAGTGTTTGGTACAGTAGCCAGCGACGTGGGCTCATGAAGGAGTAGAAATTGTATACAAAAGAAGGTATATGGTAGTTGGTAGATACATAAGATTATGTTATAATACGTATTCTGAATTATAATAATCAGAGAGTTTGAGTCTCTAGATTATTGTTTGTTAAAGTGACAAATACACACATAACCTCCAAAAAGTAGGGCTCCCGTAGATTGTACTCCCTCCGTTCTAAATTATAAGTCACTTTGACTTTTTTATTCATTTATTTTACTATGTATGTAGACATAATATTATATCTAGATGCATAGCAAAATGGATGTACCAAAAAGTCAAAGCGACTTATAATTTAGAACGGAGGGAGTAGAATTTTTGTAAATATGGTGTTTTCATTATAACAGTCCATCCACAATCTAGCCATTTGGATCTGTAGGATCTCTGGTTAGCCTAAAGGGGGTGAATAGACCTATCAAAACAAACACTCAAATTTTCGTCAAATTCAACATGCGGCACTGTCGCTCTGTGCCCACGGCACTGCCGCTCTGCGGCACTACCGCACCTGCAGACAACTTCGTGGCACAATTCAAAAACTATGAATGGAAACTTGAATCGAATAAATTACTAAGCTTCATGCAGGTATATGTAACACAGATCAACAACTAGAAGTGATAAAAACACTACACACAAGTAGATCGGCCACAAATCCTAGAAATCACTTCAACAACAATATGAAATGTAAGTGATGTAAATCAAGCACAAGGTGACACGATAATTTATCCCGTGGTTCAGCTCGCCACCAAGACTTGTCTACGTCCACGTTGTTGAGGTTAGCCACTAAGGCTTAGGGCTTTGCAACCCTTCCTCGTTTTCAAGTCAAGAGACTCAACTCTTGAGATGAGGGGTGGGTTTACTAGCTTCAAGAGATGGTTACAAACCTCCTTGGGCTGCCACACAAGTTGGCAATCTCCACGGACGACGCTCTAGCCGGCTAGGAGCAAAGCTCCAAGAGAAATAAACACAACCGCCGGGCAAAACGTGAACCAAGTGCTCTTTTGAGTTGAGGAATCAAATGATCTGCTCTCTAATCGAGTTTAGGGTCTTTTTCTCTCAAGGATTGATGGGAAAATCAATGGAGGAGCTTGGGAGCTCAAGGTCACCAATGGAGGAGAGAGAGAAGAGCTCTTTTATGGTTTTGGACGAGCTGAATGATTGGGGAAGAAGAGAGATGTTGGGGAGGAAGGGGAAGGGTATAAATACCCCATAGTCCCCAACGGTCACTTAAGTCACGGCAGTGCCACGGCTCATGTGCGGCAGTGCTTCTCTCCAGGTGCAGCAGTGCCGCACCAGGCAAGACAGTAAGGGTAAGAGTGAAGTGCTGGCTGTCTTGACTGAGTAACTAAAGATGTATGTGTAAGATTGAGCACTTGGTAGCACATGTTAGCTTAAGCATTGTGTCCTCCTTTATAGTACAACTTTTCCTATACTCAAATTCAAAATATAAAAGAATTTAAACCTCCTTTGAGTTTGAAGCTATCAACATTTGTAATTGGGGGCTCCTCCGTTTTGTGTAACATCCTCGAATATAGATTCCCTGCTTGTCATCTCGATAAATCTCATGAGTTCTCTAGTTGCGTAGTCATTATCACCAAAAACCACAATTAGAGCTTGATTGCACTTTCAGAATCATAATTAGATTATTTTAGCTAATTATTATTATCACAAAGGATCCAAACAGACCTTATTCTATTTTATTAGTGGCTACAAATTACAACAACATGAGTGAACTAAATCACTTTATAAAATTCCTCAAAACATGTATTCCCTCGGTTCCAAATTGTAAGTTGTTCTGAATCTAGATACATAGTATATACTCCCTCCATCCCAAATTGTAAGTCATTCCAAGAATCTTGGAGAGTCAAAGTTTTTCAAGTTTGACCAAATTTATATAACAAAATAATAATATTTATCATACCAAGTAAGTATCATTAGATTCTTTATTAGTTATATTTTCATATTATACCTATTTGATGTCATCAATTTTTGTGTTTCTCTCTATAATTTTAGTCAAACTTAAAAAAGTTTGACTCTCCAAGATTCTTGGAATGACTTACAATTTGGGATGGAGGGAGTACTATATATAGATATAATGTATATCTAGGTACGTAGCAAAAGTTATGCACCTAGAAAAACTAGAATGACTTATATTTTGTACAATGGAGGGAGTAGTTATTATTGTGTTATTCTGTCTCCAAGATTATGAATGGACATGGTATGATATGGGCCACTAGATGTTTTTTTTTATAAAAAGGTAACAAATAATATGTTACAAAATCACCATTTAAAAATTAAAAAATTCCGGTACTACTATATGCATATGATCAACCATCCAATTATTTGGTCATATACTGTAGTCGAAGTTACAAAGGTTTGGTTGCCTGCTTGCTTGCTTGAGTGATTATATATTTACGAACTGTGAACTGTGACTCTGAGTGTGCTTATACTGCTACAACGAAAAACTGGCCATCTCAAGCGTGATTAAAAATGTTTCTACTGCGGACGTTCATGCTTCAGCAAATTCATCAAGATGTGAGTCAACATTTAAGCTTTCCATATATGCATTTGGATTCATATATGCCTTGATTCTTATAGTTTTATAGAATGCTAATTTGCATTCCTCTTTTATGATTATAATACATTTTTAATACACAAATAATAATATACTAAACTTAATCACATGATTTTGTGAGCACTCTCTGGGAACGTATATACATGTGCATACTTATCTTTTTTTCTAATTAAAAAGTGCACTTAACCTTTAATAGAGGGGGCATAAGGTCTTAAGACTGATTGAAGGGCTCATTTTATATAGTTCAACAGAGTCACAACAGTCTTTTTAGCCTATACCCATATAGTTATGGAAACTTTATTTGTCCTGACATGTTTATTTTTACGGCATTTGTCCTGACATGTTATTAAGTAAGGAATCTATTTCTTTACATAAACAATTAACGAAGATATAAATTATATATATCACTAGCCCATGCATGTGCACGGGTTGATGGACTAGTTCTATATTTAATCAATGTAGAATGACTAAAACAGAGTCTAGGGCCCTGTTTAGATTGAAGGAATTTCGAAGGAACACATTTCTTAGAATTTTTTTGAAGTTATGAATATCTATACGCCTGGTCTATTATTTAGGCAGCCTCAGGCTTGCCTCAACCGTATATGGTGTATCAAGTATATTTGGGACTTACATATATGATCTTAGTAAAGAACTGAAATCATTAGCTTGCTAGGTGTAGCAGCTACAGGTTGGTCACTTTGGTTATACAGAAATGATATGATTTTTTTAAAAGGAACATAATTCTTCTCCTTTGAAGGTTATTTACTTGGATATACACTGATTTCGTACATAGGCTATTCTATCTATAGAAGCCAATGTTACATAATTTGGTTGTAACGGCATTTTAACGATTGGCACAGGTGGCTAAGAAGTTTTCTATTCGAGCACATATGCGACAATCTAGTCTACTAATCGAATATTGTTAGTGTGTCTGAACTTTATAAATCTTTTTCTAAGGTTGTGTGTATCCTTATTATGCAGAGGTCGGAAGTGTTTTAAAGTCTTTGTATTATCTTGGTAAAACGATCTTAAAATTAATGAAGTTCCCTTGTCAAAAAGATAAAGAGTCCATACACGGATACACCCAGCCGCACCAACGTGCTCAACCCCCGCAGTCACAGCTCGGGGCTGGTGGCGTCAGCCGCCTCACTGCACCGCTGACAGAGCCTGTCATCGGTTTAGATTTCGCTTATTTTAAACACACATAATTTCTTAGCAATTCTGCTTAATTAAAACCTAGCAGGGAACTCCAAGAGCATTTTATCATTAGTAAATATAAGTCCCAAAGTCCAAAATGTGGAAATGCTACATAATGTTCATCATTCATTCATTCATGTATGTACATGGTAAGAACAAACAAATAAGCTAATGCCCTGTCAGTGTACAGTGTGATAATCTCCAGTTCTCCACCTCTCATGCAGTGAGTATAATATATAGAACGTCCATGGACACAATGAAACAACATTATGTACATTCAACAATTCAAAGTATGTACAAATTTTCAGAAAAGCCAGCACATGGAAAGTTGGGTGCCATGCGTTCACAAATGTCGGAGGAGCGTGGTTATTTTGGATTGTTTGATTTAGATATGTCAGCTCGCAGCTCCTCTTCAAGTTCGTCGAAGTCCCAACCGCTTATCTCCTCATGGTCTTTATTAACTTTTCCAAATTCTAATTCTAACTTTGCAAGCTCTGAATCTGTGTCCAGCATCTGCTCAGATTTCCCTGGAGATTTCGGAGAGTCCACAGGCACATCTTTGGGTGAAGAGGGTGCCTGAACAGGTGAATGACTCGCTTCAGATTTGTCTTTGGTTGAACGACTAGATCCAGACTTGTCCTTCATTGGTTCCTTTGCCTTGCGGACTTCAATGTCTAGTGTCGGCCTCTCTACCGACTCAAATACTTCCCTCAGTTTCTCAATCTCAGAAAATAAGGTCCTGACCTCTGCATCATCTTGCCTGAAAATTGAGAGGGAAAGGTGGTTTGTCCAACTGCAGGGATCACAAGCACGAAAAAGAGAGAGCAATTAAAGCTGAGAAGAGTCAGGAGTACCTAGAATTAGCCCCTTGCTCAGAATAAAACATCTTCTTCATGCGATCTACAATGCTGAAGGCAATTACGATCTGAAAATGTGGGAACATTGTCAACCAGCTATCCATTCTATATAAAAAGCTGAATAGGCTAAAAAACCATTTATGTTCATAGCACGAATTATAATACAAAGACAGCTAGGGATCTTTATTTGAGCAGGTTTGTGACCTTAACAACATCTAGTTAAGAGTTCAGGTGTAATATCAATGTTAGGTACTAAAAAGGAACCTTCTTTTCAGTTTCCAAATATTCCTCCTCAAGGGACTTTTGTGGACTTGTCTTCTCAGAAACCTCATCATCCCCTCCATGTTCTATTGACTCCTCCCTATAAAATTTGGTTCAGAACACAGATTGCAAAACCATTAGTTCTATTTTGGATATACAAAAAGGAAGGGTACATGTAAGACATTACAAAGAACAATTGAACAACTTAGAATTTAAGACTGCCAAATTATCCACGTATGTGCGGATCCGCTCAATTGACGGGCTAAGAACCTCCTGCCCAAGAAAAAGGATGCATATAAGAAACTGAATCAAATATATACTACAATAATACAATGCTTGAACAACATATATCCAGCCAACCACCTTGAAATAAGAAAGATGATGCTTGGTCAACTTCAGAAAATTGCTTGTGCATCTCTCCAGCTCGTCACTAAACAAAAAGTAAAGCTGAATCAGGCAAACATATTATTTTGTCACAATATTCTTCACAACAGGATGAGAAGAGTAATAATAGGACAAAAGGGTCAAAACTTGTAATAATTACATACTTCGTTTTATTTTCCTTCTGTTCATTGTATGACGACTGAAGTTGCCATGTATCCTCGAGGAAATTTACCCAAGTCTTGACTACACTGGCCTCCATGTTACATGAGTCAATAGATTTTGACAGGTCATTCTCCTAAGTTGATGCAGAAAACAAAATATCAATCTAGTCAATATATTGAAAAAGATAATAAACATCGATCCCATCAAACACAGCAGGATCAAAACTGAAACTGGATAATCAGAAAAGCGTAGCCACCTTTGCTTGTAAACTGAAGATCATCTGGTTGTTTGCTTCATGAAACTGGTCCCTCTCTTCCCTCGTCTGCTTTAGTCGACCAACAGCAGCATTCAGTGAAATGTTGACCTGTTCATCATGAAACATTGGAAACAAATCAAGATCAGAACAAATGTTTGACTTTCACAAAATAATAGGAGACAGGAAAAAACAACAAGAAAATAAAATCTTCCATAGGGGTCTCAGGATAAGGTACCTTCTTCAACTGAGCCTCAAGTTCATCCCTTTGCTTCTCCAATTCAGAAATCTCAGCAGTCAAATCCTACATGAGACACATTAGAAAACAGGATTTGTTTGTGAAACCAACAGATTACAACAAATCAGAACTTATATGTGCATCCATTGTATATAGTACCACACATATAGATATACATGTGCAAGCAGAATGGCTTTCCATGAAGCTATCAGATGCAATGAAATAAGTTGAAAAAAAGCTTACAAAGGTGCATAGCTATAATTATATGCTAGAAGGGAAATGCAATCAGAATTCTACGTTATACGATGTGTGACCTTTTATAGTATAAGAGCTACAAGCAGATTCTACATATGAGCTTGGATTCTTACCTTTTCAACAGCGATCACTTCGTTCTCCTTTTTAGCACGAAAGTTAAGAGCCTCTTCTTTCTGGCGTCTGAAATAGTAAAATTTGAAAGGTCATTGGAAGGTTTTTGGTATTTATTTATTTGTTTCAAAATGCACCAAACGAGATTTTGAAAAATCATAAAACCACAATAGTGGCGAGTGAACAACATGACTTGTATTCATGGTGTACTCACTAGTGAACAGATTTCACATAGACTAGGAATTGCGTACTGATAATCCTGTTTATTTAGCGACAAATGCCTGAACTAATATCTAAACAAAAGCACAGCACCTCTGACATCCCTATACTTTAAGCCAATGTAAATTGAATTGGTAAGTATACAGAATGCAGATTGTACTGTCACAACGAATATAGTTGAAGTTTGATGTGTGCATAGACATACGTTCCTCTGGCAAGTGTTAATATGGGTGTTCCTTTTTCAAATGATTATCTCCTAAAATTAATCCGTATGTACTAGGAAATCAAACATATCACAAGAATAAGATTTCATCCACTAGAAACATAAACTCAAAGAGAAAGCAGAGTCCTTAATTTGTACAAGCTTCAAGATTCTAACAAGAATCAACAAATGATTTTAAAAGATGCCTACTGAAAAGTTAAGCTAAACCTGTGATCCAAAATACGCTTCTCTGCCTTGGAGGATGAATTAGCAAGGGAACTCGCCAATACCTTTAATTTCTCAACCTGCAATATTTTAGTCCATTATGTTAGTAATATAGCTGTATTTTCACCAATGTCCACATATATAAGCAGAGTTCGTCCAGAATGACTATCAAGTTATTATTTGCAAGTCTAAACAATGCAACAGGTAAGATGAAACTTTGGCACAATTACAGCGCAACATTGGCGATTGCTCACCTGACCCATTCAATAATTTAGAAGGAAATAACCATGCATGGTTATCATGCCACAACAAACATGGGCCATACTGCAGATGATATAGACTATTCAATGAAAAGTAAATGTAAAAGAGAAAAATTCTTGGAGCTCAGAGTCCCATAGCTCATAAATTAACTTTCTTCAAAGGATTATGTTCAGAAAATGAAGATCCAAGAACAACACAAAGAACAGTAAAGTATGTGTGATCCCAATAGTTAGCACTAAAGAGATTAACTATCACTGAACCTTTGCTTTTGTTCAAGTGTCCATGCAACTGTGGTGTTTGGTCAATTTATGAGTGAGACTGAATATAAGCAGAATATAAAGGTGTATATAACCGGAAAATGAAATCCTCAGAAAATCACAAATAAACATGCCTTTTGGAAGTGGATCTCTAAGGAGTCCCCAGTATTAATTGATTTTTTCTTCAATAGAAGTTCCTCCATTCTAGAGCAGAATCGGACTTCGGTGAGTGCTTCTTTGAAAGACTGAACAAGGTGGAAAATAGAGTTAGCTTGTTCCAAACTAAAAGCATTATGGAGGCAGAACAAAGTTATTACTTATAAAAAGATGCAACATATCAAAACAAACTGGTTGACATTGAATGTACAACATTAGTTCCAGGAAGAATCCATCTGCTAATGCAATTGCCTGACTAAATTTGCTTAATGAGTCTGGGATCGAGTCGCGGTCTCCTCGCATTGCACAAGCGAGGGTAAGGCTTGCCACTGACACCCTTCCCCAGACCCCGCACAGAGCGGGAGCTCTCTGCACTGGGTACGCCCTTTTTTTAGTCTGGGATCATAAGAAACTTAAATGAAATAATTAAAAGCCTAAAGCCAAGTGTATGTCTGCATATGACACTGTGCCCGCTTATAGATAGATCCCAAGTACCTTTGTGAACATCTAACCAAGCATTGACAAATTGTACTGCAGAAACAATTAAAAATAAAGTAGTTAATCAGAACATATATCACAGAGTAAACACCTCAAAAGTTGAAGTCTTTTCTGTAACTTTATCAGGATCATCAATTGATTGAACTCGTGATGCCTCCTTCTCATCTAGTTTCTTCCACAATTCTAGAGCTTCAGCATCTATCCTGAAGTGAAATACACATATTAGAGTAACAAGAAATGATAATAGCCCAAAACAAAGGCAAAAGGACTAAATTAATCTTTCAGGCTTTCCATATGTTGCAGGTTAAAACTATTAAGTCACAGTGCAATGATGGCAGGTTAAAACTATTAAGTCACAGTGCAATGTTTACTGTTAGACAGACAGATGGACCCAGGACGTGGTCCACGTCCATTGTGCAGCGCTGGCCATGGGCCATGGGCCTATGAAGCACATGTAGATTGTTTCCTATTAGGCATGGATCTCTGCTGTGCTAATTCTATAAACCAAACCCTATGACATACTTCACTATATAATCTAGTATCCTGTACTCTCATAATCAACCTACTATTCCCGTGTGCAAACCTTGCTTACATTGTATCAGGATGGTAGATCCTTGCTCACACACACATGAAAAATTAGACTTCATGAGCAAATCAGTAGAATAGTGATCACCTCACAATGTCAGCATTCCTCTTTAGACCTGAAATGGCACTTTGCGTAAACTGAAGTAGCTCTTCACGTTTCACCTACATGTATACAGATACAAGAATATTGTTTGACAAATGACAAGAAAGTTAATTTATGCAAAGTTTGATATTGAAAACAGGAAAATAAAATACACCATTCTTTCTCCAGGAAAAATAAAATACCAAGTACATAGCAACTGGTGAATAATTAGAACACTTTGCGCCAAGTATTACATGATAATTTAGCCTTATAAGTTTACACCAGACAACTGGCAGACATACCAGGACTTCATCATGATAATTTGAGAATGACTTTGCCAAATCCTGTATACTGCTCACTATAGCATTATTAACTTCTTTCCCCCCTGTAAGACATATTCTGTAACAAATGACTGTCATTTAAAATGGAGATGATGCTCATGAAGAAAACAAATACTGAAACTCAAGTTCAGGGAACAGTAGGCAGAATCATGTCAAACAGCCACGGCCAAACCAATGATTAAAAAAATGATGGGGTGAAAGATTGTTTTCTCAGGGAAGCTAACATATATAATCATAAGAGCCTTCATAAGAGCCCAAAGTAATCTTAATTGCACACTCAGTAAGACTGTAAGAGTATGAAACATCAAAAGGAAAGATATCACATAACAAAATTATAGCCACATAAGGAAATAGCAAGCACGCAGTGCTGTACTTGCAATAGAAAACCATAAAATAAATTCTTAACATTAAAGGTGAAGTACGATTCTTCACATCAAAGCAGTAAGTTTCTAGAGGCACTAGTATATCCTAAAGTCAAGTGCAAATGTTATTGTTTCAGGTCAGTCAACAATATAGTTTAGATGACAATTTTCCCTGTTCTATCCAGACCAGGTGCATTTAATTATATGTTTATAATATAGAAACTGCAGGAGAGAGTTTAAGTGTTCAAGCTCAGAGTAATTTCTTAGTGTACTTAGACATTCCACTTGAACCGAAAACTGAGATGAAAATTGCTTGGATTATTGAAAAAATAGCAAAATCATCGGCACATCTTTTGGACAATAAGCTCACCCGAAAATTTCTAGAAGAAGGGAGACCTCTTCTTCCTTAGGAGCTTCAAGAATCTGGACAAGGAAAAGATAAGCCATGCTTAACTTGTAGCGGTGGTAGTGTGGTACAAGAAACAACAGAGATCTATTACAGCAAGCACTTTCTTGTTGGGTAATTCAGGTGCAGATAGTATCTTGAGTTCTTGACAGCCAGGATAGAATAATTGAACTAGCTCACCATGGACAACGTAATACCCTCAAGTGCTTGGCTATAAAGGAATACATCTCGGAAATTCATAGGAGGCCCTCCAATATCAGCATCGTAAAACAAAACCTGCAGAGATGTGTCTATGATGTCATCACAGATGAAAACAAGAATAGCACTAAGTGTGATGCCTATATGCAATAAATGACGATACAAAGCCAATATAATAAGCTCCCTGTATGATTAGGCAAAACCCAAGAGCCAAGAACATGAAATCTGATAGGCAGATGCATACTTTCGCCAATGATGCTTTCAAGGAGTTTGGCTCGCTTGAAGGGACATTCTGCCTAGGAGACCCACCCGAACCTCCAACTTCAGCCTCAACCTCCTGTAGGGCTCTGAGCCAGCGCCTTAGCACCTGAACTCTCTCATCCTCGCGTGATGAAACCGCTACCTCTTCCAATCGCTTCACTGTTTGCTTGACACTTTTGTAGTTCTGAGTGCTCTATAAATCCCATAATAAAAAACATAATACAAATGTTCCTCAGATCAAGTCACCATCAGTAAACAAGGGATTTTCAATTAAAGGACAGTCAGTTTATACATACTGCACCAACATGAACCCTAAATGCACAAATGCCCCAACTTCTAACCCTTTCCCCCCTCTTTGGCAGCAACCCCCGTCCTAGAACATGGCAGTGTGACACTGACAGATCACTCATTACTCCATTGTCATTTCGAATTAGAAGCTACCACATAGATTGAACCAGAAGAAGGTAGAACAGCAGCTCAAATTACACGCGAGCCGCACCTCCGCCCGATAAGTTGGATTTATTTATTTCTCAATTGGCACCGCCTCATCAGCAACAAAAAGAACGAAACACGTTTTCAGGCCAATTGGACGGACTCTGGGGACAGGGGGGCGGGGGGCGGAGAGGAATCCGCTCACCATGCGCTCATTGATGATCTTGGCGCCCTCGGCGACGGCCTGGCCGGCGTGGTGGGCGACGGCGTCCGCGTAGCCTAGGACCGTGCGGGCCACGCCGCTGCGGCCGCCGGCCTCGACGGCCTTGCTCACCGCGCTCCGCAGCCACGAGGACATCGCGAGATCACGGCGGCGACGGCGAGGGGAGTAGTAGGTGGGGCGCGGCGGGGCGGTCGCTTCTCTTCAGGGAGTTCAACACCTCAACTGCTGGTCGGCTTGCTCTTTTCCGTTTCTCTTCTCTTTTTTTCCCCTGATAAATATATTATGTTTGGGCGTTTGGCATATTTATGATTTCAAAAGAAAAAAAAATAAAGCAAAAAGGTTCTTGTTCAGTTAAACAAGAAGCGAAGCAGTTCTGTTGTCTGTTTCAGAAGGATAGCAACATTGCCTGGGCCCACATGAAAAGGGTGAGGTCATGTGCTCATTCCACATGTGATTGATCTAAAAGCAAAGGAATGGATTTTTTTTTCTTTTATCTATCCAGAAAGGTAAAGCTTGCAGTGACTCGGACTAAAGAGGCCTTCCTGCTAGTGTTGGACCAAATTCATAGTGGGCCTTAGTATTGTGTCCGCGCCCGATTGAATTTCAGCCCAGAATACTAATAAATAAGAAAAAATTCATGTTACCTCTCTTAACTTTTGCGGCTCCCTGAACTTTTAAAATCATTCGTTTTACCTCGCTGACCGGTTATAAGCGGTTATCGAAAGAGGTTTTGTCTTACCGTGATTTTTCAAAGATTCAGCTGAAATAAATCAAACAGAAGAAAAAGATAAAACCGCCTTTGAAAACCGCTTATAACCGACCAGGGAGGTAAAACGAATGGTTTTAAAAGTTCAGGGAGGTGTTCTACCTGGTTTTAGAGTTCAGGGAGAAAAAATAGACTTTCGTAAAAGTTGAGGAAGGTAACGTGGACTTTTTCCTTTTAAATATTCTGTACGATGAAATGGTGCTTCACATCCCATCCCGGGACCCATATAGCCCATGCTATGCTATTGCCTAAGGAAATTTCGAGATATTTTGTGCCTCGAACTTGAATGAACTAGGCAAAGTGAGGCTCTAATGCTAGGTTTAGTGATAATCCGGTGAGGGCATCTGTCCGTCTAGACGCGCTTCCCTGAGCCTGCGGACCAGCCCGGCCTGCTCTCCCTCACGGTCCATCTAAAACTCTTAAGGCTCACTTGATGGTGCATACTCATTAGTTACTTACACGCCTACTCTAGTCGTAGCCATCTAAGAACATAGGGATCCTAGAGTCGTAGCCTGAAGGCGCGTTCGATAGCCGCGTCAGCAACGTCACACGGCCGCTGAGCAGCAGCCCCACGAAGAAGCTTGCGGCACATGGACGACGCCCTTCCTCAACATCGGCCTTGCCTGTGGCGTCTTCTTCTCTAGCTGCGGCTGTGTCTTAGTCAGTAGTGCCTGCAGTGTCGGCACGAACAACGTCTTTGTAACGTCCCACCTCTCCGAGGTCGGGCCCGCTTACATCTGGCAGCTTAACTAGGATTAAACTACCCTCACAGACCAACACTTGTCTTTTCTGCGCACTTTGTCCTCACTTGTGCGCACCTCGGAAGAACTTCCTGGTCGGTCACCCATCGCTCTAGGCCAAACACGCTTAACCTCGAAGTTCTTTGCAGATGGGCTTCCGGAAAAGAAGTTGCAACTTGTTGGTATGAATATCCTAATAATCCTATTAAGCCTTGGGGCGGGGTGTTACATCCTCACCCCCTTAAGAGATCGACGTCCTCGTCGATCAATCCCAAGCCAGGAACGTCCCCTCTTAGCCACGTCCGTGTGTCCAGTGCCAGCGCATGTGCCATGCTGTGTGACCACGCCGGATCCACACCAGCCATGCGCACCATGCCTGCGCAACTACGACACACGCGCCCATGAAACCGCGAGAGTCGGCTCCGATACCATTCTGTAACGTCCCACCTCTCCGAGGCCGGGCCCGCTTACATCTGGCAGCTTAACTAGGATATAGACTACCCTCACAGACCAACACTTGTCTTTTCTGCGCACTTTGTCCTTACTCGTGCGCACCCGAGAAGAACTTCCCGGTCAGTCACCCATCGCTCCAGGCCAAACATGCTTAACCTCGGAGTTCTTTGCAGATGGGCTTCCGGAAAAGAAGTTGCAACTTGTTGGTATGAGTATCCTAATAATCCTATTAAGCCCTGGGCCGGGGTGTTACAGTCTTCTCCTTCCACCATGCCTCCTTCCTCTCGCCACGTGGCGGGCACCGAGCGCTCTCTATCGCCATCACTGTCCCGGGCCCTCCTTCCTCTATGGCATTGCGGCTCCATCCTCCTTCTCCACCATGACCTAGCGCTGAATTCGTCTGTGCAGTTCTCCACCTGCCCACCTGCCTGCCAGGGTTTGCTAAAAGGCATGTTGCAAGTGTTTTATATGGATGTTGCAAAGTAGATCAGGATGTTGCACATGTTGCAATGGCTATAAACGTATGTTGCAAGCGTCTATTCCAAATATTTCATCTGTTTTTTCAGACGTTTGTTGCAAGTGTGTTTATCTGGATGTTGCATATGTTTCCCACGTATGTTGCAAGCGTTTTATCTAGATATTGCATATGTTTTTTAATGGATTCTCAAGTGTTTTCAGGATTTTTTGCAAGTGTTTCAAACACATGTTTGAAGTGTTTCATATGTATTCAGACGTATGTTGCAAATATTCCATTTAGATGTTTCAAAAGTAGATCGAATGTTGCACATGTTGCAATAGCGCCGGTGGCTGGCGGATAGCGGCCTGCCGTAGGCTTTGGCTCTTTTCTCGTGCGGCACGCCTCGCCCTCTCCTCTTCTCTTCCTTCCCTTCCCTCCATCTTGACACGGTAGTTTGAGCTCGGTGAGCACGATGACGCAGACGTCAGATGAGCACTGAAAGGTCCTTGATTGGTTTTCGTAATTGAGTGACAACCTTAGGTGGACTAATATGTGTTTAAGTGAGATACACTTGTGATTAGTCCACAAGTGAACATGTGATGAAGGAGCTCATTGCATATGATACATGACATTGAGTCATGTTACTAAGGTCGAGAAGATCGAGACAAGACTTGGTTTAATGGACCGGTTGCAAGTGTGAAGGGCAAGTTGAGTGATGACTTGGCGCCGATAGACCGAACAACGGTGAAAGAGCAAGTGAAGTCAAGATCGATGAACCAATACGATCACATGATGATATGAAGTGGATCATATCATTGGTGATATGGTTGGTGCATACGTTGCATCAACATCGGAGGAGAAGGAATGGAATGCGCAAGGCAAAGGTATAACCTAGGGCATTTCATTTCGCCGGTTATAGGTGTGTAGAGAAGTTTATGACCGAGTTTAGGATAGATGGCCGTACTATCAAGATGGGCAAACTTGTTTGCATATCAGTCATCTAGTGCCACTCGAGTGATCTAACTTCGCATCGTTGCTAGGATCGAGTGGCGTGGCAAGTTGAGTGATTAGATCTTGAAAAATGTTTGGAAAAACGCTAACATACGTGCACTATGACGAGACACTTTGTTGTTGGCAATATAGAATCAAGGGTGGCGTAATTGAGTTGCTAGAAAAAGAAAAGGGGAGAAAAAGGAGAACCAGACCCGCACTGGCAGGAACTGGACCTAGATGAAGGTGGGTCTGGTCCTTCAACATCGGTACAGGGGGTGTGGCCTAGGAGCTCAGACCTAGGCGCACGGCCTCCTCGGACCGACTTGACAAAGTTTAGTCTTGGGCGTAGGGCACCGCGAGCAGCGCAGCGCTGCGGCCTGGCAGCTTTGGACCCAGGCCCCTGGATCACGCGTGGGTCCGATGCTGACGTGCGGCTCTGTGGCGGACTGATGGCTGCGCGGGTTCGATGGAGGGTGTAGCGGGTCCGCTCGGCCCGCTGGCGCGCTGCCTCACGGGTTCGACGTCGGGCACTACGGCTCGACGCATGTGCACACATCTTCAGAGTTCGGACCAAGCTACGGCTGCAGGTCGGACGACATGGCATGGTGGGTCCACCCCTGGTGATAGTGGGTCCGATCAGCCTACAGTGGACGCAAGCGCGTGGCCTCGGTTCATCGTAGCAGAGGGCAGCGGAGTTGCGGCGTCGTAGGAGAACGCAGGGCACGGGAGCGGCTTCGGACTTAGGCAAGGTAGTAGGGCTCTTTGTTGGCGACGTCGGACCTAGCGTGGTGGCCTTCGAACCCTGCACGGCTTCTCGGCGTCGGACCCAAGACTTGGAGTCCGGTTCCTGCTCGTGTTGGTGATAGGCGCGCGCATGTGAAGGCCGAGGACGCGTGGCGACCGCGGGTTCGTTGATGGAAGAGATTGGACCCAGATGATGGTCTGGAAGCCGCGTCCGGAGTGTTTTTTCGTCTCTAGAACCTCTATGTTCCCTTTCGGACTATGAGGAGAGATGATCCGGACCTGAGTCTAGAAGTAGAGTCTGGTTCTATGCAAACAACCACAGTAAATAGTGACCATTGAGATCTAACAGGCGTGTTTGAACATGGGGGTACGTGGCGACATCCTAGGGTCCAGACCTTCACTGTAATAGTCCGGTTCTAGGGTTCGGACCCTGGGTTCGGACCTCCCCAAAGCCTATTTTTGTGTAACGGCTCTTTTAGCCATTGGGGCTATAAGTAGTGACCTTGGCCGGCCTTGGACTGGTAGCTGAGCACCCTTAAGCCTTGGTGGGTTGTGTAGGTGTGCTTGGGAGCCCTCTAACTCACATATGTTTGATAGTGATCATCCGATTGTGTGAGTGAGCGATTTCTAGTACGTTGCATTGCGAGATTGCATCGAGTGGCACTAGGTGTTCGTGTTGCAAGTCGGTGGTGCTTGTTACTCTTGGAGGTTGCCACCTCCTAGATAGCTTGGTGACGTGATCTCCGTCAAAGCACGCATGGAAGCTTGTGCGGTGCTCTGGAGAAGTTTTGTGAGGGGTGTTGTGCTCACCCCGCGGGAGCTGTGAAGAGCAACTCTAGTTGAGAGAGACGCGAAGGGCGACAAGTGGACCAGTCGTGTCAAGTGCTAGAGCTTGTGGTAAGCACTCCACGTGGGGAGAGTGTGACTTGCGGGTCACCACTAGCAAGAGGACCGCTGGCAACCTTGGAGCTTGTCTCAACGG